ACATCATAAAAAAATACCTGTTGTTTATGAACCTCTATACCCACCCCACCCCACCCCACTTTAACCAACATCCCAAAAAAATAAAGTAATAAAAGGCATGAATACTAAAGTATACAAAAACAAATCTGTGAATAAAAAATACTCAAAGTTAACATCATGAAAAAAATTCCCCATTATTTATGAAGCTCTATACCCCACCTCGTCCCACTTTAACCACAATCCCCAAAAATTAAAGCAATATGGGCATACCATGCCTAAAACATTACAAATTTCGTAAATCGAAGTCAACACACAATCAGTTATGAATCAAAATTAGGGAAAATCAACATCTAACGATCAAAATAAATTAGGGTAAACAACACATACCTAAACTAGTAATGGCGTTCACAATATGATTGTGAAATTGATGATGAAACCCTAGTTCAATCCAATCAACCACGACGCGAGAGAGAGAGAGAGGGAGAGAGGGAGAGAGAGAGAGAGAAGACAGAGATGCGAATACTGGTGTTAGTCAAATGAAATGAAACGGCTGAGGCATGTAAAATATCTGAGGGCATTTATGACCTTTCACAACTTCTGTTACGTCCATTGGATTTTGCACTCTGGTATGAAGTATAGGGGGTTTAAGTGTTACAAATGAAACTATAGGGGGGTTCCGTATTTTTGAGGCAAACCACAACATTGGAAGCTTCTATTGCCAACACAGAAAATTGACCATCTAAAAATTTGTTTTTGTCTTTTTTTTATTTTTATTTTTTTCCTTGGTGCCATCTAGGTTCACCAAGAGGAAATAGCAATGGATATTGTAGTGGGTCATAGCATCCATAATAATACTGAATTCTTTCAGATGACCTTGATGTTTTTGGACAATGATATTGCCCTGTTTATACTCAACAACTTTATCATTCTCAAGCCATATTGCAGCAACATGGGATGCAATAGAAGGATTAAAAGTTCAGGGATCTAAAGATGGATCAGCGATGATAAGTATATAATAAGTGCCTTCTAAAGAATATAGAATATGGATTTGAAGCAACAATATCAATTAGAAGAGCAATGATGTTCGGATCTAGATTGTCTGCAATCCTCATCCTATTCTGAACTTCATGTTCAGTATCAAAGAAATAGAGCTGTAAGTAAGAAGGTTTATGATCTAAAGGATAAAACTAATTGATATAAAGATAAACTTGTCCTTGCACACGAAAGGTATAGATTCCTCTATTTTTATGCTCTAATTGTTTGCCAGTGGTAACCCTGAATGAAGTGAAAGCAAATAAATTATTATAGGCACGAATGTACTTCAAGAAATGGAGAGAATTTTTTGAATGACCTATGAAAAACTCATACAATTGAGATGGAACAACATTGGGACATAGTGCAATTTCCCTAGCAGAACAACAAAAACCATCTGGCTCGAGATCTTTTTTTTTTTTTTTTTTTTGAAAGAACAACATGACCTATTTGGTAAAACAAAGGCTTCAGCTAGTATATCTTTTTGTGATTCTCTTCTTCTTTCTCAAGTGTAGAACAAAGCCTATGGAGAGTATAAATAGAATTTAAGAATTATTTTCTACCTAGCTAGGTGTATAATAAAAAAAAAATAATAAGAGAAGTTGTTTAAGTACCATCTTCAGTGTCAGTCGTTGTGTTATTCTGGAAATCATTAATACCTATATAAGATAAATGTATGAAGTCATAATCAGAAAGACTAATTATTATAGTTGAAGAATGAAATAAAAACTCTAATAATGTATACATTGCAGAACTGCTGTTTCATCAAGTGTGCTAGATGTAGAACCTAAGGATTAGAAAGAAAGAAAAAGAAAAAAGAAAAAAGAAAAAAAAGGTGTAATTATACATAAGTAATCAAAAAAGAAAAAATGAAATTGGTTGTTATCTAATAAAGAGAAATGAGTTTTTTCTCTAATAGAGACTTTGAAGAAATTATACCTATTTCAAAGGTGTTATGATTGATGGTTGCTCCTTCAAGACTAATTTGGGAAGGTTTTGGAAAAACGGATGTAAGAACAGGACGTTCGAATATTCCTAATGGTTCATATTCAAATAAACTGCTTGATTCATTGATGCGGCATATTTTTATTGGTTGATCTATTTGTTTTTCTGTTTTTAATTCACGCCTCCTTTGATTGATGCGATCTTTTCGTTCTTGTGAAAAATTTGCATATGACATTACCTTTTTTGGCTTTTCCGGCATGATTGAAACACTATACTGTATTAAACAACAATATGTACCGTAACGAATTGATAAATAAACATTAAACCGCAATTGTCATTTTGATAATAATTTTATTAACATTGTAATTCTGATATAGCATGTACTCAAAACAAGAAAAGAAACCATACAAGGACATTTTACAATTACAACAAATTACAAAAATTAGACTCAAATCATAATTAAGTTTAAAAATAAATTTCCAGGGAATAATAAATTGTACAAATTAATACAATTAAAGATTATAAAAACTGAAAGTGTAATTAATAATAAATTTCCATGGAATTTATATTACTTATTTGCGTAAATTGTAATTAATAATGTGGTTATGATTTTTAACAGAATTTTATTCATTGAGTTGGTTGAAATTAATTAATTAAGTTAATCAATTTCCATGTTTACCTGTAAAAACACATTCTATGTTTCAATTATTAATTAAAAAAAATAATGATAAGAGTTGTAATTAATCCAATCAAATTATAAGACCGAAATCGCACAATGACTAAAATATATAGACTATTGGTATAATCTGGTCAACATATTCAAAGTTATCTAAATGCAATCATTATAGCTAAATGTAGATTTCCTAGGTATGATGAAGATTGATGATATCATCAAATTGAAATGGAGCTAAACTTTTACTTTTTAACCAAGTCAGATATATATGTAATAAGGCAACAAATCAAAGGGTAAAATGGGAAAAAAAGGCATTTTACTATAGCAATACCAAAACTGGCTACGATCACAGTGCTAGTGGTGAATTTGGAGCTATAATAGGAACTATGCCACTTAATAGATGAGAAGATGAAAATATAGTTAAAGTGAACTACTTTAAAATAAGATTAAGATTTAACAACAGTTTTCAAAGGACATGACACAAATAGCTAAGTTTTATATTGAATCCATTTAACCCAAAAAGATATGGATTCATGGAAGTGACATAACTGCAAACCATTACAAGTATTCATTGTGTGCTTTTTGTAGTAGTATATTTAAAAATAATTTTTATTATATTTATAATTTAAAAGTTGTAGAATAGCATACTAAAGGGGTTTTTGGGAACATTTAAATAAGCAAAGTATCTTTCTGGATTTATCTTTAAGCATTATTCTTTTTTCAAAATTATGTCAAATTTTTTACTTTTCTAATCTATATATATAAATAAATAAAATAAAAAATTTTAAAAATAAAATAAAATAAAACAAGCCAAAACAAGTAAAAGTATCAACTTTTTTTTTTGGAATATTTTTGTCTATTCTAGACTTACTTTTAATTTTTTTTAAAATATTTTTTTGATTGCTCTAGTTGAGTAGAACCCTAATTTTTTTTTGAAAAGTCAGTTCACCAAAGCAAAAATAATTCAAAAAAAAAAAAAACATAAATAAACCAATATATGAAAAATCAGCCTTTTTCGTGTAGATGAATAAAAAAATTTGAAAAATTACAATAAAATAAAATAAGTCAAAAAAGTCAAATTTTTTTGAATTATTTGTCTTTTTTGGACTTGCTTGAATTTTTTTTTATATTATTTTTCTAATTGGTCTAGTTGAGTAGAACCTAATTTTTTTTAGCAAAAAATTTACTAAAAGAAAAATAAACCAACAAAAAAATCATCAAAAAACTAAATCCCAAACACCCTCTAAACATGGAAAATTTAGGATATATATATATTTATTTATTTATTTATTTATGGATCTATGTAAAGAATATTCAAATCTTTCAGTTTTCATTTTCCTTCGCTTTCTCAGCAACCAAACAACACAAGAATAACACAACTTATAAGAAAATTTTAGAAATTTAAGCCAAATCTCAAGAAAAATTTAGGATTTAAATTCAAAATCCTAAACCCTAAACCCAACCCATATTGCAACTGTTAGATTCAACCCCACCCTATAAAATTCACACTGAAAATCAAAATTTCATGCGAATACCTCTATCAAGAAGAGATTCAAAGCTTGCGAAGTATGAAAATCGAATTGAAAAGTACCTAAAAATGCAAATTTACAATGGCGTAGATTGAACTCTGATGAAAGTTCTTAAACTCCGAAGTTTTCCACTACAACACCACACTTCTTGAACTCCAAATGCAAATCTTCCCCTGTAACACCACAGTCTTCACACTACACGAGGGAATAAAGCGCCACAATGACTTTTTGATTCTAGTATATACATTGAAATTATCCACATGCAATGATAATATCTAAATGTAGATTGATAGGTATGACACAAATTGATGATGAAATCTAATTAGAATGGAACTAATCAAATTAGAATAGAACTAAATTGTGTGTTTGGTTTGTGTTTTAAGATAATTTAAAAAAAAAAAAAAAATTGGAGAGAAGGTTTAGAATTTTTTTTGGTTTGTTTGATTGTATATTTTGAAAATAATTTTGGACTTTGAGATGATTTGATATTTTATTACAGTTGAGTAGATAAAAAAATTTTGAAGGGAAAGTTTAGAATTTTTTTTTATTTGTTTGGTTGTATATTTTGAAAATAGTTTTGGAGTTTGAGAGTTTGGAATGATTTGATATTTTGTTATAGTTGAGTAGATGTGTTTGAGAAAAAAAGTGATTGAAAAGGAAAAAGAAGAGGAAAAAAAATGATCGATTGATGTGTAAGAGAGAGAAAGTGATTTTGGAAAAAAAAAATTTCAAAAAATTTGAAGTAAACAAAATTTTTTAAAAACATTTCAAAAATTATATCTTGAAATATAAGCCAAGCAAGCCTAAAGTATTGTTTGTTAACCAACCTACATATATATATCTATATAATAAAGCAGAACGGATTTTGAAAATATCCTAGAGACATTTGTCCTACTAAGACATTTGAATGGTGAAGATTCATTTGCCTATTTACATGAACGGCTGAGATTACCCATTCAATATGTGTCAATCCCCTTCCCGCCCAAACACTAAAGTAACTGCACACCCACGTCTCATCTCCAGCCTACTCACCCACGTCTCATCTCCTTCTATCTTTATCTCTTCTCTTCTTTGTTCTCACCCATCCCTCTTTTATCTCTCTGCTCTCCAGCCCTGTTCTTCTTCTTCTTCTGCTCTCCAGGTCAGATCACTTTTCAATTGTTCTTGCAATTGTTCTTTATCTTTTTTGATATTTTCAGATGGAGAAAATTTGGATTTCGGTTCTGTAGATCAAGTTCGTGATCTTGAGACCCGATTGGGACCCAACAAATTCCAGAAGCAATTTCGCTCGCTGGGTCGACTTCGCGATCGCAAGGTAAGTTCTCTGATTCTCCTCTTCATTTCAGTAAACAACTCGATACACTACTCTGATTCTCCTCTTCATTTCAGTAAACAACTCGATACACTACTCTGATTCTCCTCTTCATTTCAGTAAACAACTCGATACACTACTCTGATTCTCCTCTTCATTTCAGTAAACAACTCGATACACTACTCTGATTCTCCTCTTCATTTCAGTAAACAACTCGATACGCTACGGTACAGAAGAGTTTGATCGCAAGGTAAAATTCTCTTTTTGGGGTTTTCTGAACCAAGCTTTGATGGGTCAGAGGATTCGAAATGGAGGTTTCTCTGGGCTGATTCATATGGATTTGGAGGTCTGAATCTGGGTTTACAGAGTGGGTTCAATGTAGAAGAGCTCTCTTCAATCCCAAACTTAAGGTCTTATAATTATTACTCTGATGATCAACACTGTGGTCTCTGCCACAAGGTAATGTTTCAAAATCAAAACCCATTTTTTTTTTATATATTTTTTTTCCTAATCTTTTTGGGATTTGTTGCAGAAGAAGCGCGTTAATGGCGAAAACTTTGGGCTATCTCCCCCGATCAATGGCTGTGATTTTCTAGGATTGAATCTACGAAACAAGCGAATTGTCGACGGAGAGAATCAAGATCTTAGCATGGGAGCTCTGGGTTATGGCGGTGGCAATGTTGATCAGGTGAAGAAGGAGCCTTAAGCAGGTGCAAGAGACTCAATATATACTGCTTTTTTTTTTTATCTATCAAGTTTAATTACTGAAAGTTGTGTAATGTGTTTGTCATAGAGAATTGTGATGGAGAAAAAATATGATTTGAAAACTAAAATTTTAGAGAGAAAAAAGCCCACTAAAATGATGATGTAAAAACTTGATTTTATACAAGAATGATATTATGATAATAGCGTTTTTAAAACTACACAGCATAATGACTTATTTATGTTCTGGATTTTATTTTCTGTCTTAGGCTTGCTTCGTTGTGGCAAGAGTTGTAGAAAATTTGAAAACATTGATTTGAGTTGCTGGATCTGCTTGATTTTTGTTGTTGCATAATAGTATACAATCTACTGGAACAACAATAGATCATGCATTTTCCCAAAACATAGTATAATAGTATATCAAATGTGTGTGTATGAAGTGCTACTGCTGAAGTTTTGCATTTGCAGATGGAGGCAGTCGTTTGCATTTCTAAATTTTATTCACTAAATTTTTTATTCAATTCCGGATTAATTTTTTATTCACTAAATTTTAATGGGTTCCTTATTTTAATAGTCTGATATACACACATATAGAAATACTAAGAAACTTGAACTTATCTTATGAAAGAGTAGATCTGGAGCACACGAAGCAGAAAATTGGAGAGGAAAAAAAATAAATGATTTTTAATTTGAAGAGCTTTGAGTTTATAAAAATTAAAAGAAAATCTACTAATGTTGAAATGTTGAAATGTTCATTTGTAGGGCAGATGTATCTCATAGATGAAAGAGATATCTCAAAGATGAAAGAGAATGAGTGGTGGAAGATGGAGGAGAGAGAATAAGTGGGGAATTGATGGACAAGGTGTGGGTTTTGTGTTTCTAACCATTAAATTGATTTTTAATTTTTTTTAATTTTTTTATGTGTGTGTTCTTTTTTTTTTAAATAGATTTTTATTTTTTTTTAATTTTTATGTAGTTTATGGATTTGGATTTAATTTTTTAAAATGTTTTAGGTTTAAAATAATAGTTGATCTTTATAAAATGGGTTTCGATTTTAGAAATACATTTTTATTTTTAGTTTGATTTATGAAATGGATTTAATTTCTTAATGGAAAATGAGTGTTGATTTTTTATGATTTTGAAAAAAGCGTTTGAAATGGGTGTTGATTTTTTTTTGATTTAACAAAATCAAATCACAAATTTAAGATAAAATAGAGTGAAAAAAAATACAGAGAGAGGAAGATCAAACAAAAGAAATAAAGGGTTTGTTATTTGAGCTCTGAGAGAAAATGTAGTGTTTGTTAAGAGATGAGAGAGGATGAGAGGAGAAAATGAGAAACAGAGACGTTACAGAGAGAGAGAGAGCATTTTAAATACTATACTTTTTTAGATGTTGAAATTCTATAAAAAGTTTAATAAAAATTTCAAATACAAATTAATATTTTAATTTAAACTTTTAGTAATGAATTTGATAAATTATATTTTAACTTAAACGACCTGCCATTTTACGATATCTTGAACTAATTTATTATAATTGATTTCTATAACAGTGAAATTATTATTATTTTGAATTGATTTTTTTTGTAAAGGATGTGATACCAATATTAATAATTTATGTTAATTGATTTTTGTAAAATATGTGTACCAATATTATTTATACCGTGCCTTCAGGCACGGGCATACGCTAGTATATATATATAACAAAACAAAATACCACAACAATACAATGGAACTAATGTATTAGTTTGTTAAACAAACCATATATATATATATATCTAACAGGACTTACAAAAGATTAAAACAATACAATGGAATATATATATCTAACAGGACTTATATATATCTAATAGGACAAAAAGTAAAAGGATACAACGAGAAAGGGAAAAAATAGGGGGGTAAAATGGGAAAGAAAAAAAAAGCCGTATACTGTAGCAATACCTAACTACCTCTTATTTATAATAGTAAGATAAACAATTTAAATTATCAAAAAAGAACCGTAGTGAATCTCACATGTATGAACTAAGGGAATGACAATCCTTTAATTTATAGAGAAATTCTATGTGTATACCATATGCACCCTAATTATGACATTTGTAGTGTTTGGTTATGACAAGTTGAAGTATTAGTTATAACTTTGATATGACACATTGTGGTGTTAGTTATAATTCATTGTGATGTTGGTTATAATATTATTTTAGTTATAACATCTTACAACAGAATGTTTGATAAATCAAAATTTAACACTTGTTACACACATAATTAGGGGTGATTTTTAGGGGGTGAAGAATTAGCTAGTGTTTCAAGCATTTTTCATCAGTATCTCAAAATTTATTCATTCTAATTCATTTCACTCACAAAATCATTACTCAGTTTGGTTTGGAATTTTCAAAAATAATTTTCTCAATTTATCATTCATATTTTTTGTATTTTTAGTAATTTTTAAAAATATTTTAATCAATTCTTTTTTTTACTTTTTAGATAAATTTAGAAGTTGTTTGGGTCACATCATCTTTTTACTTTTCTGCATATCTTTTTATAAAAAATCAAAAAGTACAATTATTTTAGATCATCCCAAACAACTCCTTAATTTTGATAAATTTAAAAAATATAAAATTTGTTAAAATATATTTTAAAAATTGACTAAATTATGTAACACTTCCATTAAAACACAACAATATACATTGAGCAATACTATAATCCCAGACACAAAAATTCAAAAAATATTCAGAGTTTTACATCAATAGTTTAGATTTACTTAAGGTATGAGTCACAACACCAACTTTAAATATCAACCATAGATTTGTGTTTCCTGTTGTTGTTGTTGTTGTTGTTGTGTTTTTTTTTTTTTTTTTTTTAATTTTTTTTTTTTCTACTTCCATTTCTGGAACCATAGATTTATTGATATACATTATCAAACAATGCTAGGCTACTCAAAAATCTCTACTTGAAAACTGTAGGGCTGAGCAAGAAATTTGTATAATCCTTAATCCAATCCGGTCCAGTCTAATCCGATAAGTTTGGATTGGTTTTTTAAATTCGTAGTTCGGTTTCGGATTAAAAATTTTAAAATTCGTATGCCACGAATCGGTTTCGAATTGGAACCGATCCGGACCGTATACAAATAATCTATATTTATATTATAGACCCTCCCACATAATATCATTTTTTATTTCATATAAAACTAAACCAATTTTCTTATTGCTTTTGTTTGATGTTATGTTTAGTTTTAATACAGAGGAGAACTTTGCTTTGTGTAATGTGCATTCAGTTTTATTGCTTTTGTTTGTTTCTTTTGTTTATTGCTTTTATTGTTTGATGTTATGTTTACGATTTTATGAAATTAAAATGTTCTATATTGTTTTTTGTTATTTAATTATGTGAATCCATGATCCTAAATCGATCCAATCCTTGTTTAAACGGATTGGTTCGGATTGGTTCCACGATTTAAACGAATTAAATTGGTTCCAATTTTTCAGGAACCGTAGATAACAGATTGATCTTGGTTTTACCCCAATCTGGATCATACTCACCCCTAAAAAACAGTAAACATTTGAATACAGAGAATATCATGCCACTTAAACCACAACAACATTGATCGAGTATTATTCTAAAAAAGTCCAATAATTGAATCGTAATTTGTAGCGTCTTCATCTTCCAATTTTGATGTCCTAAAACAGTAAAAAAGTGCCACCACAATGTACAAACCAAGATTCAGAACAAGCAACCAAGCCAGAGTCCAATAATATCGAGTTGACTATAGTTCAATGTGTCCTGAAAACCAACTTTGTTTTCCTCCTCTTTCACTCACCTAACACTCCCTAAACTACCCAATCCATCGTGACAACGTGACCAAAATGGACCCCGTAGGCTCTCATCGTAAGCCCAACCTGTTGAAAATTGACCACATTAAAAATACAGAAAACTTATCGACAAAGGCATATAATTGTTAGGGAAAATATATGATTTTCTACGAGTACATCAATCAATGGGAATAAAAACTAATGCTGTAACGCCCTCAAAATAATGACATTAAACCCATCAGATAAGACATTCATTGACAAATGAAATAACCACATTCTTCTATTCATCAGAGTTTCATTACAAAAGTATTACATGTTAACGACAAAAGCAAAATGCCCTACGGGCTTACAGCTTTCCAAGTTAACACTTGGTTACAACAAAAGAGTACTAACTCATTTACACATTAAGCCCTTGGCTTGAATTTACATGTAATACATCAAAAATAAAACGACAAAAGTATGTCCGCCTCTAGCCTCCCAAGCTATGTCCTTGGAGGTGGCATGCTACCTGTACCTGAAAATGATATTCCCATATAGGGTGAGCCACAGCCCAGTAGAAATACACTAAACCAACCATGAACAATGACTAAAAGATTAGCAATTGATAGATGGCCAACACTGATACATTCACATAAATCACATCTTTATGTCATACGACTTATGAGTCCAAATTACTTTTCATTTTCCCTTTTTCAACAGATAAGCATGTTAGCTCTATCATTACTTCAACAGATATGTATAAAAATAATATCCCTCATTCACAGATAAGCATATAAGCTACATCCACATTCCCAACAGATATGTATAACAACAATATCCCACATTCACAGATAAGCATATAAGCTGTATCCACATTCTACAACAGATATGTATAACAACAATATCCACAATCACAGATAAGCATATAAGCTATATCCACACCTCACAAAGATAAGCATATTAGCTCTATCATCATCTCAATAGACATGTGGAGTTAAGGTACAAAAAATTTAATTATGAGTTTATTGATTTGTACAACTTGAAAAATAGTAATCGACCTCAATAAATTATGAGATTTGAGGAGAGGCATGTATACGTGATTTTGGACAACTTTTGTGTTGTAGTTTTTTATTAAAA